ACTTTGGGGAATAAGGGATGTCCTAGATCTCATTTCTTCTCATGGCCACCAGTTATTTTCATTTTTTCTTTAAAAAGTTATGTGCATTGTATCTGTTTCTGTGTCAAATTGCTGTTATAATTTTTTTTTTATAATTTTAACTTTAAAAAAATACATCTTGTTAAGTATTGGGTGATGGAAACCCAGTGTTGAGGTTTCAATCTCTCTTGGCCCAGGAGCCAGCCGCTGGCTATTTAGATCTGCTTCTGCAGTGACTGCATACTTCTCCTTGTCACATAAGCTGAGCATTCAACAGTTGGTGGGGTTTTCTGTTTCCCATTATTCTTAACTAAGAACTACTGGTGATGTCTCACATTTTGTAGACTATTGTTAGCAAAACACTGAAATAAAATTGCCTCAACTCCCATTTTAAGATATCCTGCAAGAAAAGTTTTTCCTTTTCTCATTTTCTTATTTACCTATTTCAAAATTAACAATCTGCTGAAACATCTCCGCTCTTTTGTTTTTTTTTCCCCTTTTCTGTTTTTTTTTAATGTCTCTTCCCATTAATGTCAAAATTCACCTTTCAAAAAAAAGTGTACAACATTCACGTTTTATCTCCCGTCAGTCTGCGGCACTTCTCAGACGTAAAGGGGATCGCAGAGGCTGTGCCTGCAGGGGACGCTGTGGTGCCTGCAGGGGCCCCCCTCAAGCTCTAGGTGCTCATTTCCTCTGGGAGGGCCAGGAGCTCAGGGTTCTCAACGGGACCCTTCTCCAGGCATCCCCAACAGGGGAGAGAGCCTCTTTGCCCAAGGTCACGCCCACTTCCTGAGGGAGCGCACTTCCAAGCACCTGCAGCTGTGGCCAGCCCCCAGGCCTCAAGGCAGGACGACTGTGAAGAGTCCTTCCCGCCCCAGGACTCCTAGTAGGAGATTGGCTGAGGCCTCTGTTGCGGCCCTCTTTCTCCCTGGCCTGATCCTGCCTTACCCTCCTGGCCTCCCACAGGTTGTTTCTAAGAGCACTTCCCAGTGAGTTTGCCTTAAACCAGTCTGAGCCACAGGGTCTGCTTCCTGGGGAGCCCAGCCTAGCACAATGGCCTTTCAAGATTCAAGGTATAGGACTATCATAATGTGTGTACCTGCGTGAAGACAGAGAATTATAAAGCAAAATGTTAACAATTGCTGCATTGGGATGATGAGGATATGAGAGTTCTTCGTCTTATTCTTGCAATTTTTATGAAAGTTTGAAATTAATATAAAGTGAAATTTTTAGAAATTAGGACAAATATCTTTTACTTGAAGATGCTTAAGTGTGAGACAGTAAAACTGTTAGATTTAAGGTTACAAACTCATTATTCTGCAAAGATTAGATAGAAGCTTAATCACTGTGAGACTTTAACATATTATCAGTTCTTTATTAGCCCACTGACTATTTTCTATGATGGCTTTGTTTGTTGTTTAAAATTAATTTGTTTCTTTTAAAACAAATTAATTTTATTTTTTTAAATTTATTTTAAATAAATGACTAATTAAATTATACCTGAAAGGCCACTGTCAATACATAGCAACAATGTTAATTGGATGCTAAATAATAAATGAAACAATTTGGAAATTTGTTCAACTTACGGGGCATTTCATTTTCAAACTGTGCTATTGCGTTGTTAATGTCTGATAGTTTAAATGTCAGTTTGATATCTAAGAAATATCACAGGGTTAACCAGTTCTGCTTTGTGGTGTTATCTAAGTGTTACGGGCTCAATGAGATCTCTAGCTTCCCTCTAGATATTTCTGCAAAGTATCTACAGACTTGGTATCTAAGCACTCATCTTCAGATGACTCAGTAGCATCATTTCCTGTAGCATCTTTACTTTTTCCTTTGTGGTTTCTCATTCATGTACTAGTCCTCCTTGACATGTGAGTTCACAGTCGCAATTGATCAATAGCTTATGATACCAAAGGGACTTTATTTCCACTAAGGAACTAAATGTGTGTTATCCCCTTCCATTTGCTTGTGAAGATTGAGAAATAAATGTGTAATCATTTAATTTAATTAAGCACACTTCACTTTCAGTGTTGTGCTGATAGTAACAACAAAAAAAATGCAAACGAGTTTCCATCGGCTCACTGTATTACAATATAACTGCCTTTCTTCTTACCTCTATAGGATTATTTAATATAGGTGTACAACATTTTAACTCTTCTAGCCTAAAATGTATCTCCTAATATGCAAGATATTTTATCTTTCACAATTCTTGTTATTCTTCAGTGTCTTTTTAAGTGTCTGTAAAGGAGTCTGATTACAATTGTGATTGATACTGTAATCATTTATTTGAAAAAATACATGAACTCTTCTTTAGCTGTTGGAAATTTGACATCATTCTCCTTTCCACTTGAAGTCATATTTCTGTTCCACATCCTTCCCAGAATTTTATCCTAATAGAAAGTATTTTTATGCTTGAAAATCTGTTCTACATGAAGTATATGAGGTCTGTCCATAAGGTATCCAGCCATGTAATATGTAAAATAGAGACATTTACTGAAGAAGATACAAGATACAAGAAACGTTGTACATAGGACAATGACACATCAGTCCCCTTCAAAGTAGGCACCTTGGGACCTCACACAGTTCTCCCGATCGCCATCAGCTGCCCCTTGTTGTATTTTCCTGAATCTCATCGATGGTCTGAAATCTCTTCCCTTTCAGAAGTGATTTTAGTTTTAGGGAAAACCAGAAGTCACAGGGTGTGTCAAATCTGGGCTATAGGAGAGGCTGAAGCACCTGGGTGATTTGATGTTTTACCAAAACCTTCTGCCCAAGATGTGATTCATGAGTGGGTGTTTGTTGTGATGAAGCTGCCAATCACCAGTTGCCCATAGCTGCAGCCTTGTGAATCATCCAAATAGTTTCCACGGAGGAACATTCAAGTTTAATGCAAAACTTGAGGCAGATTCGTTGCTCTACTCATTCAGTCATTTTGAATACGAAGGCCACACGGTACACACGTTCACTCAACAACGTCTACTGCCCTCACTGACTAGTACAGGGAAGTCATTGTTCACTCAAGTGCATTCCAGTCCACCCTCCTTGGCTGCAGGTTACATTGATGTCATGCAAACCATTCTTGTTATACTAAAAACAGCTGGAATTTTTCCAGACAGACCTTGTATATATAAATTGAAATTATTTTTTAGTTTTCTGACCAGAGGCTTTAAATGATAAAATACTCTTTCTAGATTGACTTACCATTTCAATTTTTTTTAGTACACAGTCAAAATCAAAACCACATAAACGTATTATAAGTACTTATAAAACATAAAGGATAGAATTTATTGGAAAAATACATGTTTTTATGAGATGCATGGAACTGGTCATTCACCTACACACGGATATTACCTGTTGCTAGAAATAAGCACGGTTCAGCATGAATTCTGATTCTGTTTTACAATTTTATAGATGTGAATGCTGAGAAGACTTGTTCACATAAAATTGTAGGTGGGAATAGAAGATATTTTATTAAAACAGTGTCAATTCTATCAATTCCTTCCAAGTAATATGCCAAAAATTATATCGCTTCTCATACTGGGGTGTATCTGATTACCAAACACCCTGGCATGGACCAAAGTCCCTGTTACTTATGCCATGCTCTGCCATTAAAAGAAATGTGTGTAAGGCAGGACAAACTTTGAAGCTCTACTTTGGATTTTTCATGCCTTGATTAAAGGAGGTGACCCCATTCCAGTCTTTTTTCCTATTGTTTGGTTCTTACGCTTACACCTTAATGGAAGATGTACCATGTAAAATTAGGTAAATGATATGCCTTTCTTTATAAAGTGGGAAAAAAACTGATTATAAAAGGGAAGGGGGAAAGAACGAGCCTGGTGCTTCTACACAGTTGCATTCTCAGGATGGTCAGTTTTTGGAAAGAACATACTGTATTTTGTCATGTATAATGTGCTTCTGTGTGTAATGTGCACCCACATTTTTGGCCCAAACTTCCAGGAAAAAAATATTTTGTTTTAATTTTTTAATTAAATTTTTTATTCATTTATATTTAGATACTCGTTTTTTGTATTATAAAAGAATTTTAGCATTTATTTTTGAACATATTATGGTACAATAAATTTTATGTAACGTAATTACAAAACACAATAACAGATGAGATATTTCAAGTACTACCCTTGTATAATGTGCATCCTTATTTTTCCCTCAGAAATTTGGGCAAAAAACTGCATTATACATGGCAAAATATAGTATACAGAAGTTGTGGATCTGGATATTGTACTTTAAAATTATCTATGCCTAGCCCTTGGGAAGTCTTTCAGTACCCACACTGATGTGCATACACCAGTTTGAAAAGGGCCTTCTTACACTTCCTATTGTATCAAATAATATGCTGAGGTAGAGTTGGTACTAATACTTTGTTTACACACTAATTATCATGGGGAGGAAAATGATATTAAGACCACAAAAATGTTAAATTCAGTTAAAAACATATGAGAAGAAATATCAGTTTATTTTCATTGGCATATTCTTTTACGTTTAAGTTTAAATTTTTTTTTTTTTGTTTAAAAGTTCCTATCAAATAAGCTATACATTGCTGATTAGTTTTGCTTAGACCACATAGAGTTCACACAGCAGTAATAAACATCTTTTAATTAGAATAATTATCATTGTTCCAGTTTTGATAAAATTTCATTTGAATCATTTTCACATTTTCAAATTCTTATTTCCATTCAATATTATACGTTATATTTAAAAATATGTATCAAATAATAAAGCTATAAAATTGTTGATGAGGAGAAGGGCTAGAGTTGAAGCTGTATTTTTAAAATCTGTCTCAATTTGTTGATTATTATAAAGGGCTATGTTAAAGTGATTACCGTTCATGGGTAACCACTGATAGATGAAATATATTTGGTAGACAAAATGGATCTTCAGAAGCAATTGACTTAAAAATTGTGAGCTAATGTAAATGACTATTTTCTTGCCAAAGTAAAATCTTAGCTTAATGTCATTGACAGAGAACCCTTCCAAGGCAGAAGTGAAGCAAGAGCAGCAACAAGAGCCTCGGCTGCCCAGTGAGGTGGTGGTGTCCCAGGAAGCAATGCCAGTCAAGTGCGGCGCTTGGAAATCAGCAGAGGTGAGGCATTGCAGCAGCCTTCTATTTCCGCTCTAAAAAGTGACTGCACGCTTAGTGCCTTCAGTTGACACAAACATATTACCTTCCAGTCCTGCAGGCTTGCAGCCTGCTGTGGTCCCACTGGGCTGGAGCCGCTGTGTCCGTCTGTGGGGCCACGTTCCTCCCTGCGGCCCTGTGGGAGAGCTTGCGTTCTTGCCTTTTCTGGCTCCTCTGTCCTAGGAGAACCTGCTTGTGTCTTAAGTTGGTTTTTGGTGTCCTTCGTTATACAGAGTTTTAAATAAGAATAACGTTAGATTAGCAAAATTTTCCTATATAGTTTGTGTATTTAAAAATCTTATTTAATAAATTATTTTTTATCCTTATATAATAAAGATCTTTTATTTTTTCTTCTAAATGTTGAAATCTTATGCCTTCTAAAATTTTATTATTTAGATAAGGCCTTATTTTATTTGAATCCCTGTGGAAAAACAATATTTAATTTATTGAACAATCCATCTTTCTCTACCCATTTTTGAAAACTTTTTATTATGAAATAATTAGAGACTTATAAGAAGTTGCAGAAGTAGTATGGAGGCCCCTGCACCCTGCACCCAGCCTCCCCCCATGTTGACACCCTAGACGGCTGAAACTCTCAAAACCAGGAAATGCACTGGTGTGTTACTAACTAGACTACAGACCTGAGGTAGTTTTCAAATTTTCAATTCAGTATTAAGTTTTTTTAACCTGCATTTGTGTGTGTGAGTGTGCGTGTGTGTGGTATGGGGGGGGGGGTGGAATTCTATGTAACTTTATTCTAAGTGTAGATTTGTGTAACTGGCACCGAAATTAAGACACAGAACTGTTCTGTCCCCACCAAAGAAGTCCCCCTCACGCTACCGGCCCCATCTCACCCCAACAGCCTTCTCCCCTGACAGGCACTGATTTCTCCATCTATCATTGTGTTATTTCTAGAGTGCTATGTAAATGGACTCAGACAGTATGTAACCTTTTGAGATAGATTTTTTTTTTCCACTGAGCATAAGGCCCTTGAGATCCATTCAGGTTGTTGCATGTATCAATAATTCATTCCTTTTCATTGTTAAATAACATCCCATTTTATAGATGTATCAGAGTTTATTCAACCCTTCTTCCATTGAAAGACGTTTGGATGTTTTCAGTTTGGGGCTATTTATAAATAAAGCCGTTGTGAACATCTGTGTATAGGTTTTTGCACGTACGGTTTTCATTTTTCTGGGATAAATGTCCAGACTGATTGCTGAGTTGGAATAAGTACAGACCACGTTTTGTAAGAAACCGTCACACTGTTCCCCAGAGTGGCTGCGTGCACTACGTTACAGTCCTGCCAGGAGCGCGTGGGAGATTCAGTTCCTCGCATGCTCACCAGCTTTCGTTATTACCACTATTTTCATTTTAGCTATTCTAATAGGTTTGTAGTGACGTCTCATGGTCTTGTGTTTCCCAAATGGCTAATGATGTTGAACATCTTCTCATGTACCTATTTGTCCCATCACAACTTCTCTTTGGTAAACTAGAGCTTCCTATATTTTGCCCATGTCCTAACTGGATTGTTTTTTATCATTGAGTTTTGAGAGTTCTTCCCAGATGCTGAATAGGGGTCCTTTGTCAGAGGTGTGATCTGCATAAATCGCCTTCCAGTGTGTGGCTTGTCTTTTCTCTTTAGCGATATCTTTCACAGAGCATAAGTTTTAAATTCTGATGAAGTCCAGTTTATCAGTATTTTATTTTGTGGATCATGCTTTTGGTGTCATATCTAAGAACTCTTTACCTAACCCGAGGTCATGTAGGTTTTCTCTTATGTTTTAACTTTATTTGTATTGTTTATACTATTAGAGGTGTCCCCATTTCCCCCGACTTTGCCCACCCCCACCGCCGGCCATCACCACACTGTTGTCTGAGTCCACGTGTCATACGTGTATGTTCTTCGGTTTCTCCCTTCACCTTCATTCATCCAGTTCCACCCTCGTCCCTCCCCTCTGACAGCTGTCAGTCTGGTCCATGTGTCCAGGCCTCAGTTTCTATTTTGTTCAGTAGATTACACATGTAAGTGAGAGCATATGGGATTTGTCTTTTGATTTTATCTTATGTGTTCTTCTGAAAGTTTTAAAGTTTTATGTCTTACATTTTGCAATTGAATTAATTTTTGAATTTGCAATTGAATTAAGTTTTATGTTTTACATTTTACAATTGAATTAATTTTTGCATAAGTTATAAAGTATATGTTGAGGTTCTTTAAAAAAAATTTTTTTGCCTACAAATATCCAATTGTTTCAACATTATTTGTTGAAAAGACTTAAATTTTACTGTAATATGCTTAAGTGTGGGTTTTCATTATCTCTCTTCCTTGTCACTGTGAGTGAGATTTTCTAGTGGGAAGTCTTTCGTCTCAATATAATTCTGAGAAAGTTATCTCTGGTTCAAATATTTCCTACTGTTTATTTTCATTTTTCTCTCTTGGGCTCTTCTTATCTGGATATTAGTTATTTTCTTTCTATCTTTATATCACTTAACTTTTTAAATTTTCTATTTCTTCATTTTTTCTTTTTTCTTTTCCTAGAGTTTCTCAATCTGATCTTCCAATGTACCATTATAATTTGTTCTCACCTATATCCATTCCACTATTTATTCCTTCTATGTTCTCTATTTCAACATTCTATTTTTATATTTACCATTTCATATTTCTATTTCATTCTTTTTCTCGTCTTTGTTCCTATTGCTTATATCTTTCCTTATTTATTTTAGTATGTATATTAAGGTTATTTTAAATTCTTGGTCCATCTCTTCTAATATCTGTGCTTCTGATGAAACCTGTAATGCAGTTCTTAATTTTTCTTCTGAAATAGTTTTGATCCTCAAGTGACTAGTAACCCCGAGGGGTTGTGGCTGCTGTGCTCAGGATTGCTGAAGGCCAGGCCTTGGTCTGCATCGGCCCAGCAGCCTAAGTGGGAGGCGGGGAAATGGGCTGGGTGGAGAGTACTCCTCTCCCCTCCCTTCTCCCTCCAAGAAATATCAGAGTCAATCATTCCCCACTCTAAGGATCAATGCCTCAAGCTGGATCTTTATCCTAGCGCCCCAAGAAGAAGCGGCTTTTGGGGGAGACACTCCTTACATTGTAAACCACGTGCCTTGGAGGATAGGAAGAGGAAGGGTGATGAGGTGTCTTCTCAAGCCTACCTGGTCGTCCTCATTGATTGTTCCCACCTCCTTACCTGCCCCGGGCTTCTGCACTGACTGGAGGCTCTCCTGAGTGGGCTCTGTAGGCACAGCAGGCGTGCAGGCAGGCCCAAGGCAAAGACGGCAGGAGAAATTCTAGGAACTCCTGCCTTACTTTACCTCGCCACTGCACAGGCCGCCCTCTGCCCCAGGCTAAGGCCAGCGCGGCCTCACTTCCCACACTCACTCACAGACGCCCGTTCCGGACAGCCTCCGTCTCCCCAGCGGCCTCTGGCAGTTGCTTCTCAATTTGATGTCTTCTCTCTACAGTACCCCCAGCGTTGATCCTGAGTTAGGGGCCACCAGGACCAGAAGCAGAACCTGCTCTATTCCGCAGCATTCTCTGATCTTCTCAGATGTACACCTACTCGCTCCTGTTGTCACTTTCACATAAGAACACACATTAATTAGTAATTCTGGCATCTACAGCTCTCCAAATACTACTGTTTTCCTATTTCCTTGAATTTTTTGCTGCTTAGTTTCTATTAGAGATATATTGGGCCACTTAATCTCTCATTTTCCATGCATTTTTTCCAATTTTCAACTGCTTTTAAAAAAAATCCTCACCCAAGGATATGCCTATTGATTTTAAAGAGAGGGGAAAGGAGGGAGTGAGGGAGAGAAACATCGATGCAAGAGAGAAACAGAGATCAGCTGCCTCTCATATGAGCCCTGACTGGGGACTGAACCTACAGCCTGGGCATGTGCCCTGCCCGGGAATCAATCCTGGGACCTTTTGATTGGCAGGACAGCACTCCAGCCACTGAGCCACATCAGCCAGTGCTCAACTGCTTTTAAAAATACTTTTTTTGTATCTCATTTTTTAAATTCTAGGTAACAAATTAGAATCAACTTCCAGTTTATCCTTTCCTCCTTTCATCTGTGTCCATTCCAGAATTTTTCTTGGCCATCGAGTGTCTTATCTCAATAACTTATTTTATTTGCAGGATTTCTCCTTGCTTATTTATATCCCTTTGTCCTTACTTCATCTCTGCCTGTTTTTGTTTCTTGTCTTCTTATTCCTGTAAATTAATGTTATCCTTTCCATTATCTTTTTGAGGACTAAAACAGACTTAGTTTTAAATACTTTTTAGATTTCTAATTTTTATTTTGTCAGGAGTGAATATTAGTTTGTAAGCTCCTCTTGAGTGGCTCAGGTTTTTAATCACCCTGCTCTCTGTGTCCTTAGAGACCTTCCCAGCCTCCCTGTTTTTCATGTGCTTCCTCCTGACTCCTAGGATCACAGACCAGCATTCAGGACTTAAACTGCCAGCTGGGCACTCCTTCCTTGTGCTCATATCAGAGATGTTGCAGATCAGGTCCTCAGACCAACGGATGCTGATGGTCGGTTCCTGGAGAAGTATAGTTTGTGTCCTCTCACCTATGTGGGTATATTAATACTTTAAGAAGCCCTTTCCCCTGGCCAGGATGGATGGCCGGTTATTTCAGCTCCCTTTGTAAGCAGAAGATGCCAGTGCCCAGGCATAATTTCAAGCACTGAGCCCACATTCAACACTCCTGTCTTGCTTGGACACTTTAAATCTGCATTTACCCCCTCAGGAGCTGAGCTCCTGGTTTTCTCTGCTTTTTTTGGACCAGAACTCTAAAGGTCCACAGCTCCACTTCCTTACTATAATGTGTTTCTGTTCATGCTCTTATCCACGAAGATGTTTATCTTGTTTTTGAAAATGACTGTGACTTTAATTCTCACATTTGTACTTTCTCTTCCATTGCTATCTGTTTGAAAAAGAAAGGTATCCCCAAAGTAT